AGGCGTTGGCACGATAAATATCCCTCATTGCTCAATGGCCCTGAGTGCCGATTAAAGGGCAAAATTTGAAGCCCTTCACCGGTATATGGTGACGTCTCTATATGAGTGAAAAATTCTCGAATGGGACGTTAAACAACATACAATTGATCCATCAATATCAACGCAAAGCATGCACTAGATATGTCAGTCGTGAAATTAGCTATATCAAGGATTTTTTGAGAAGTATATTTTAGTTAAGTATATATATAGCATGAATCAAATTGAAATTGAATTACCATACTTATACTGGATCCCTAATTATAAACTATACATAAAATCCTTAGGGACAAAGATACATAGCAGGTTTATGTAAATGTTCTATCTAGCCTCTTTCTTTACTTCTCCCTAAAATATAAAACAGCAATGAAGGACAAACCTCAGGAGTACTGTACAACAATATAACAGTATTCAAGAAGTGATGAAAATCAAAGGTGGATACGAAAGAAAAACTCCAAGGGACATTCGGAATTACAAAATTTTACCATAATCAATAGCATCAAAACATACGATTTTTCAACACTTTATACAACCATTCTCCGCGATAAATTAAAGTCCAGTCTTTTTGAAATCATTGACAGCTGCTTTTACAATTTTTTAGAAAACATCCTGATCATACACACAAGAACTCCGAAGTTGATACCAAAAAGGATGCTTGAGTTTCTGATTGACAATATCTATCTAGATTTTGGAGATCAAGTCTTACAACAATTCCCATTGGTACATCTTGCGCCCAATTTTTATCAGACTTGTTTTTGAATTTATATGAAGCAGAATTTATTTTAAAAAAAACTTCTACTAGTATGGTGGCTTACAGCAAAATTTCACCAAATATTTAACTTGTGGAGACAAGCACAAAACTTGGCACAAATATCTGTCAGAAAATACTGTTTCTAAAATCATCTTTGGCAATCGCAGTTTTGACTATTTTCAAGATGGCTGTCGCTAAAACAAAATAGCAACATTTCAAAGCTTGAACTCTTTCTTTGTAGCTTGATAAATAAACTGTAATATTTATCATACTTTGGCTGTTTTGTGACATATTTTGGAATAACTAAGCTTTGCATATATTACCTTAAGCATCATATTATAAAACAAAGCGGAATGAAATTTTATAACGCAATTCAATTTTACAATTGTTTCTAAATTGTAAATCAATCAAGAGTGATTTGCATGCACTACGATGGTGAGAAAAAATTCCAAAACGACACATTAAAACCTTAGAATTTGATATGAATGCAAAGATTGTCAAGACAACAACAACAAAGAGAATGCAATGAGAAGACATGGTGCACCTACATAATGACTCCATATTCCCACATATGACTATATATCTATAAAGGAAAAATGGGAGTCGCCAGAGGGATTTACGAAAAACCAGACTGATCTTGTCATGAAAAGTCAGAGATGAAAAAACTTGGACCTTGGTTATATAAGAGTAAAATGAGGAGCATGTTACGTAAATTCAGACTACCACCTACTACTTGGCAAATTGAAAATAAGACAAGCAAACACAGAAAGAGTAGTCACAGGCGCATTAAATACAATGTTGAAAAAAGTAAAAGACATGAATCGAAGAAAAATTCCAATTCTAACTAAAGAGTTGAATTCAAATTTTAGATACCATAGAAGACCTCGATAAATGAGTGGGATATAAGTAAAGACATACTTAAAAACGCAAGTGTTGAAATCCTGGCAAAAATAATAAAATAAAATGAAAGAACTGGTGTCACTAAAACTGGCAAGAAGCTAAGGAAAAAAGCTATTCAAGAATGCAAAATTAAGATTGAAAAGACGTGAGCTTCAAATTAAATATCAGCAGCTAGACAAAGAGGTCGATCGTAATTTACTGCAGGAAAGAAAAAGAACCTTATAAATGAGCTTGCTTAAGAAGCTGAGCAGCCAATAGAGATTTGAAGACTTATATAACATCACAAAAACTCTGAGAAAGAGAAGATCTGGTTAAGTCAAACAGATGAAAAAGAAAATGTTGGTAAAGCTGGACCTAGCGGAACAAGTACATGTAATAGATGTAATAAACACATCAAAGAAGTGTGCACTAAAGAGACTCTAGACTCTAAAGGACCAATAACAATTTATCTAGGGAAAGATCTGAATGCAAAAATAGAGAGAAGACTCGAAAAGGAAGTTACAACAGCTACTAGTGGTAATCTTTTGAATATGAAAAAACAGCAGGAATTGACAAAATACTAACTGAGGCATTGAGGACTGGAAGACAAGAAAAAAGGTGAATATATGTATAGACTGTTAAACAAAGTAAGCAAAGCAGGGAAAATCCGTAATAAGTGGAAGAGAGGACTAATTTTCCGACTACATATACCATACATGGGTAATCAGAAATTACAGAGCTCGCTTCAACGAATGTTGTCTTTAAGTAAGGCAAAATTCCCACACTAAACTAATAATCTAGTATTGTGCATCCCTAGATGCAACATCTATGCAAGTTTGGTTCAGATAGGCCTTATAGTTTGTTGATAATGGACCTGTTCCAAAAACTTTTACCTGGTCACTCATCCGGAAAATGTAGGTCAGATCCAGCATTTGAAGCAAGTCCAGTAGTGTGCATTCTTACTTGTATCATCCATGCAAGTTTGGTCAATATGGGGCCTATAGTTAATTAGAAATGAGATCTGCTCCAAAACCTTTAAGCTGGTCACTCATCCGGAAAATATAGGTCAGAGCCAGCATCCGAAGCAAGTCCAGTAGTGTGCACCCTTAAATGTATCATGCATGCAAGTTTGGTAAACATAGGACTTATAATTACTTGGAAATGAGATCTGCTCCAAAATCTTTAAAGTGATAACTCATCCGAAAAATGTAAATCAAATCCAGCATCCAAAGCAAGCCTGATAGTGTGAATCCTTAGATGTATCACCCATGCAAGTTTGGTCAATATAGAACTTATAGTTACTTGGAAATGAGGCCTGCTCCAAAAACTTTAACCTGCTCCAAAAACTTTAACTTTGTCATTCTTTAGCTGAAATTGCAGCATCTGAAAACTTGACTGGTACAATGAAACACATTAAAAGCATCCTCCATGCATCTCTGATTAATATAGGACATAGAAGTACTCGAGGCTTAAAATCTATACCAATAGATAATGTTAATGAGAATCATGACTTAGAAAATATCATTCGAGGAAGATGATATGGAAGAGGTCAGTCAATTTTCTTATCTTGAGTTTGTTTGCTTGTTTAACGTTTTTTGAGAAATGTTCACTCATTGAGACGCCACCACTTGCCGGTGGACGGCACTTTGAGCAGAGGGATGTTCAGGGATCTTTTTCGTGCCATCATCTACTACGACACGGGATCTCGGTATATACGATCTCATCTGAAGGACTGGTCTCCGCGTCCTACAGTGGATTCGAATCCGAGATGTAAGGATCAATTCCTTATTCCGCGACTCTAGAGACCACTACGCTACGCGGCCTTATCTTGGTAATATCATAAACAAAATAGGGAATGACGTAAACATTTAAGCTAAAGTAAGCAAAGGAATGCACGATTTTGCAGTACTAATATCAGCATAGAAGTCTACAACAACGTCATAGAACGTCAAATTTGGAATTTTCAATACCAACATAAAATCCATCTTTTTTGACATTTTCACACTAATCAGGATTCCCTTGATGGCATTCATCCATTTAAGGGCTGTTCTTTTTGAGAATATCAAAAAAGGACTGTCTTGGAAGCAGAGCATACATATAGACGACTGGTACATGCATGAAATTCGCAAAATTTACCTTCACCTTTAAACTAATATGTGAAAATGATAGCGGAGTTTGGATCCCACGTGGGACATCTTTGGCACCAATGACAGCCTCATACCAAGAAGTACTTGAAAAGATGTAGAATTACTTGTTTGGGTAACTGCAAATGTTGCAGGTAAGAAAATCCTTGTACTGCTCAATGCAGCTGTAAATGCTCTGAAGATTATTTCTTTTGAGTAATTATAAAACAGCAAAAAGCTCCTCTTTATCACATGCTCACTGCATATGAAATAACACTTTAATCGTATGTTGAACCAAATTTTGATTGAATATTTCAGAGGTTTTTAAAATGTTTGAGAAAAAATGAGAATGCTTAACATGCAATATAACAAAAAACGACATTTTGAAAATCATGGCGGCCATTTTGAAAATGTTTGAAACTTAATGACCAGCGATATTTCCTTTTCAGTTTCTAGACAAGGAACCTTCGTGCAAAATCTGGTGCTTGTTCACTTGCCTCGCCATGTGATTTTTTTTTTCAACTATCCGCTCCGCTATACATGAAAAGATGAAATCTCTTGCCGCGGCCTTCAATTCAACATTGAGATGTATCGACGACGTTTTCTCAATAAACAATATCCATTATCATTCTTACGTTGATTCGAAATATCCCTTTCAATTCGAAATATATCAGTGTCTATTGGCCATAAGTTTATTTTGTAACCTTATCTATTTGCTCTAATTCATCGTTCATGAAAAAAATCTCTAAAATGTGCCCATTTAATATCAGTTCAAATTATAATGAAGACATATATAGAGGGAAATGTTGTGAAAGCTAAGGGGTTTGATCAATATACATATACACGTGTCCTTAACCCACACTCTTAGACTACGTAGATCATCTTAGATTAAGACATCCTCGTAATATATTTGATTTTCCAGAAAACCCCTTACTTTTCATTGTAATTATTAAGATAGATATCAAAGCCCTTTGATACTGTTATTCATAATCTTTCCTTTGCATCTTCGCTAGCCAAAGGTTTCTGATCTGACGTCTACTCTACGTCTCAGAACTAATGTTCATCATCCTTGTTTTCCTGGTTGTCAAAAAAATGACATCCCCAATTGAAAACAGTAATTAATTTACAAATTTTCAATTTGAAAGAATTATTTTCATTGTCTATAAGACTTTAGTTTTAGTTTCTAGTCATCTTTGAAATAATAACAAAAATTTTCATTCAGTTTAAAATATTTTAATGATGTTAATATTTCCTAGTGTGAAAAACAATTCTGTAATATTGCTTTAGCAATACATGTATCACATTCAGTGTTGCGGTGTTTAACTTTATCTTATTTACAGTGTATCAATTATTTTTATACTTTTATTATGGCTTTTCCGATATTTTGACCTGAAAATAGACCAATGAAAGCAGAAACCATATTGTCAAACCCCTCTGTCACAGTTTCCTTATACTTCATCTTCCCCTGAAAAAGAACATAATTACAATGTTATACTGTAGACAATGCAATACGTGATTATCAAATTAGAACAAGCATTCTGAGAGTATTGCATTAGCAATACTAGTCCCCTACCGGCAAGTGTAATCTGGTTCCGTTCCCTTTAAGAATTGAAAATGCCATAATTCCGTAAAAAATTAATGAAGCAGGACGAAATGCAAACTTGATCTATAACTAATCAAGGTAAAGCCACATACCAAAAATCAGCTCAATATCTACAAGCGTTTAGAAGAAAATTGCGGAAAACCCGTAAAAATTGAAAAGGTCGTGATTCCGTCAAAAATCAATGAAGCGGAACGAAATGCAAACTTGATCTGTAACTCATCAAGATACACTCACATACCAAAAATCAGCTCAATATCTGCAAGCTTTTAGGAAAAAAGTGCGGAAAACCAAGTGGGACAGACTGACAGACAGACAGACAGACAGACGGACAGACAGACAGACAGACAGACGGATGGACAGACTCAGAGAAAACCTATAGTCCCCTCCGGTTTCACCGGTAGGGGACTAATAATCAAATTTCAAATACAAATGCACAGTAGTACCTCTGGATAACATACATACACACTATTGTGTATTTTGTTATTGTAACCAAAATTCGAAAGTCAGGTAAAGTGAGTACTAATTTATGCAAATTTTGAAAATTTTACGAAGTCAGTAACCTTTATGTGAACTTATGATTGCTTCGGGAAGAACGTAAAAGTGGTAAAATTGATTTTTTTTTTTTTTGGATATGCACTTCAACAAGGCACCCCATGAAAAGTAATGCATGGGTCTAGCGTCAGATTCAGTATACATGCATGAACGTTAACAAGATACTTGTCTATACTATCTACCCTCTTCAATATTAACACATTCAGTTAACAATTTACCTCTTTGATCCACAGTAACATCTGTTTTAATCCCTCTGGCCATTTCTGAACGTGATGCCATCCTTGTATACCCTTTACACGTAACATATTCATTAACATTGGTCCGTATGGTAGCTCACCTAAAAAATATTGTCGTATCATTTTTTTTTTAAATTTCTTCATTTTATTTATGTGCCATGACACAAACCAGCCAGTGTCACCTTTCAAGCTTTGCCATTGATGGCATCGACAACTTAATTTATCGCTTATCAAGTTCTTTTTTTTTTTTCATATTATGATACGATTGATTGATTGATTGATTACTGTTTAACGCCGAGTCGGCAACATTTCAGCCATGTTTCGGCGGAGAATCTTTATGATTGGTTTTGAGAAGTTTAAGTTTATTCTGGTACGAAGTATCATTCGTTAAAAACTCGGCTATAAGGAAACCACAGGGACTTGAATTTTGCTTACAGTTGTAGTACGTGTAAAAATGAGCAAAAAATTTGAATAGGATAAAATGGGAACACTTCCAGTCTGTTAAAATCTAAACCAGAAAAAAAAAAAGTGAAGGATTAATCTAAGACTTTTCACCATCAAGTTATGTCCTGCACGACTTTATTACATAAAACACTAACAAATGAATCTAGAAGGATAAATCAATTACAATGTATGGGCTTTAAAGAATTTAAATCGACTATGGCCATACAGCAGCTTCTGCTTGCTCCTTAATGAATCAGTGTAATAAACATTTAGGCTAGTAACCTTTGTCCTTTTCTTCTTTGTTGTACTGTGAAATTGATCCACAAATAGCAGCCCTGCCACATTTGTTCATATGTTTCAGTACATTTGTTGTTTCCTCCCCACCAACCTAGCAAAAAATCTTACTTTAGTAAACCTTCTTAATAAGTTTAGTAAACAGTTAAATTTCAATAAATTCATTTTAAAGATATCAAACATATTTAAAAAAAATTTAAGTTTGAAAAGTTCATCCTAGACACATCACACACTGTTAAGTCAAATATTTTTACTAATATAAAGAAACTAAAATTGTACTACTTTATGTCTACCTACATTATCGAAAAAGCAGTCCACTCCTTGTGGGGCATGATCTTTAAGGGCCTTCTCCAGCGGGGTTGTTTTGTAGTTAAACACCTCGTCGAATCCTAAACCTTCCTTTAGCCATTTACATTTTTGTTCACTTCCAGCACTACCCACGACTTTACAACCCTGCAAAACGAAAATATATATCATCATTCTTAATATGTATGTTCTTTAAAAGCCGTAATATCAATTTGTCTGGCAGCTGTGAAACAAATTTTTGAAACAGAGTACTGATAAAAATGCATTTTGTAGTTTTGCTATATCTGTTTTAGCTTGCAGATCACCCGAAAAAGTCTAAGTGGATGCTTGATTGCCATGTGTTCCAAGTCTATCAATAGGATGGGGATTTTTGAAAGACATTCAGATAAATCAAGGCTATTTGTTACTCTTCTTCTTTCAGTGTTGTCCCCCCAGGAGTGTATCCAGGATTTGTTTTCAGGGGAGGGGGGGGTCCACATTAACTGGAACAAATGTCAGACGTAATTTTTTGACAAGCCCCCCACCCCTTCCGCAAAAAAAGAACATCAAAAAATACTCTTAACCTCAAAATCAATAGAAATTTAATAACTCTGAAAATTCCAGGGGGCGACCCCCCTACCCTTCTAGATCCGCCAATAGCCCAATATCAATATATAAGGTACCTTGATTTTGGCGATCTGACCCACAATATTGCCGACGGCTCCTGCTGCAGCATTCACAAAGACAGTTTCTCCATTCTTTGGACAACATGCCTCCAGAAACCCAAAGTAGGCTGTCATACTTTTAAGAATGAGAGAGAAACAAATGTAAAGTACTTATAAAAGTAAAGAGATTTGAAACTACTTCATACTTGTCTCTCCCGTTAGTACCATTTTCACTTTTAATCATGTGCAGAAACGTAGATAAGAACACAGTTTCTTTATCACTAAGGTGAGTTAATTGACGTTTTGTATTCACTAGCAACATCTTTGGACATGTGGCCTTAACTATGATCATGAGTAAGGTAGGGCCTCCTCACTTGAGAATGACACGGTAACTATGGTAATTTGTGCTTTCTTATTAAATTGCAAATTAGACGAGAAAATTGAGAGCAATTATCAGTAACACTTAAACTTTTTTGGCATGGTCACCCATTTTGATGAACTTTGCCCATTATTATAGTTTGATACCAGAAACATAAACCAATCAAAATTTGTTTGCTATGTGTCTTGGGTGCCATGGTAACAGCCAAAAAGATTTGAAAATTTAATAATTTCAGCTACTTTGAATCTTTACTGAGCCTTAATAAAGCGTAAGAATATCAAATCAACCACTCTCTCGAAAACAATACACCTCATTGCATTTATACCACAAAGTTATTTAGAATGTTTCTCTAACTAATTGGTAACCATGAATACATTCTGCGTCTATTTTAAATGCCGAAAAAAGTTCAACATTCACTTATGATAGTTGTTACATGATCAAACTCAATCTCCAAGACAAGAAAAAAATATAAATATTTGAAGTTATGTAGAAGGGTTATAGGAATATTATTCTATAACTAACTTTCATGGTTATCATGGTAACACAGTGTAGTTACACAAAATTTGTGGCTAACATTTGATTTATACTCATTAATATTTGAAGTAAAGACATAAAAAATCAAGACTGCCAAATACATATCTTTTAAAGCTTTTTGTAACACAGATAGCAAAAGTAAAAAATTGGGATATATTGCTACATTGCACTATTACCATGAAAACAATATAAAAGTAGTTAAATGATCTCTTGCTGCCTTAAGAATTTGGTAACTTTTTTTACAATCAAGAAATATATTATAAATCAAGAAATAAATTATCTTAAACTGTACTTATGTTATAAAGCTTAAGTTTAATATCATATGAACATGTCTTCGTCAAATTTTATAAAGAAAAGAATACTGTTGCAATGGTTACCAAAAAGGAAAAAATGTTCAGTTTTGTTTACTTCAATGCAATATTGAATCCTATATGGTAACCTCTTGCATCAAGTTGGAAATTTTAAAAAAATATATTGGAATTTACATACAAGGGTATGAATCAATGGTATCAATTTTTTTTTCAAATTTTCAAAATTACTTGTACTTTTCATATATAATATATAATAATATATAATTTCCACAGCAACGTTCTATTCATAGAAATAAAGTTGTACTTTTTCAAATATAAAAATTTAGACCATGTCATTGCCTTAAAATTTAAAAATAAAAAGTCAAATAGTAATGTTCTGTAAAAAAAAAAAATAGAAACAGATAAAAACTTTACAGACAGTTAATTCGTAATCACTTCTCAGTATTTTAACCATAGCAAACATTTCCAATCAAAGAAAAAAATGTCACATTTCTTCCTTAAAATATGTTAACTGTTCCATGTTCTATAATTTTAAGTTACCCTGGCATTCCCATGGCTCCTAGTGCCAGCGATTTTGGTAAATCCCCCAGGTCTGGTACTTTGTTGAGTTTGGAGGGATCGGATACAATGGTATGAGTCCTCCAGCCTAGCATGCTCTGGACAATGGTTCCCACTGGAAAATTTTGGTTCTCGCTTTTACTTATCCTATAAATAGCTACATTGTAAGTGTGACATGGTAAAAAAGCTATACAGAAAACGTTACATGTATATGGATAGTTAAGAAAGCTGTTTAATTTTTATTTTGTATTAAGTCTAAATTGAGGTCAGAAGACAGGTTCGTTCCTTAAATATTTGTTTTTGCATTTCTTTGTAATATACCAAAATTATTTATAATTATCAGCATGCTTGATTTCTTATCTATTTTCAAAATGTCAAAAATATATAAAACGAAAATTGTGATATCAGTAGTTCAAATGATTTGTAGCAAAGAATTATTTAGGATATGCCATCATCTGGAATCTTGCATAAATGCCTGGTAATGTACACTAATTCTTTGTGAAGAAGCAATATTTCAATCATATCATCTTGAAAAAAAAAGTTGTATCCTTTTGAGGAACGTGTCGTCTGACCTTAAGTGACCTTCTCACCAACATTTAAGAAATTTTGCTTTTTACAAATAAATCTATGACACATACACATATGTAATACCACTGCACGAGCATGATAACAAAGAATGTTCATTTTTTAAACTGACAAACTCTCCAGGATGGCTGAAACATTACATGCAGGACGAAAACTACTATACATCAATGTGTTCTTTTAATTCGGCGTATTTCTGCACGGGTCCTGTCACGGTAGCTGGTGGTAGGGCGTTCGTTTCGTGATCGGGAGGACCGGGTCCTTTTCTCGTTCGCCCGACACCAGAAGTGAAAGTCACGGGTCTTTCAGATAAGACCTTAAAAATCGGGGTCCCGTGTCAGTAGGAGTTTGCACGATAAAGAACCCTCACTGCTCAATATCTCTGAGTCAGTGCCGAGTATAGGTCTAAATTTGAAGCCCTTCACCGGTATATGGGTGAAATGAGTGCAAAGTGAGTGAAAAATTGTTGAATGGGACGATAAACAACATTCAATCAATCAATCGATCTTATGTACATGTAATAGGTGAGAGGTGAAAAAAATGAAAAAAATCTTACCGGGCTACTTGTTCACCCATCATCACAGAGCCGGGCGGAACCGGAAATAACCTGAAAAAGTACAAGTACACACATAATAACTCAACAACAGTACATGTACAAAGAGACAACCTGGCAGTACAGGTACACAGGAACAACTTAACAGTACAGGTACACAGGAACAACCTAGAAGTACAAGTACACAGGAACAACCTAGCAGTACAAGTACACAGGAACAACTAAGCAGGGCAGGTACACAGGAACAACTTAACAGTACAGGTACATAGGGACAACTTAACAGTACAAGTACACAGAAACAACTCAACAACAATACAAGTACACAGGAACAACCTAGCAGTACAAGTACACAGGAATAACTTAATAATAGTTCAAGTACAGAGGAACAATTTAGTAACAGTACAGTACACAGGAACAACTCAATTACACAGAAACAACTTAAGAACAGTGCAAGTACAAACAGGAACAACTACTAGTACGCAGTACAAGTACACACAGGAACAAATTAACAGTACAAGTACACATTGGAACAATTTAACAATACAGATACACAGGAACAACACAATAACACTACAGGTACATGTACGCATGAACAACTTCCAGTACATGTACAAAGGAACAACTTGCAATAGAGGTACACTGTCAAGAACAACATAGCAATATAAGCGTATTTGAAATACTTCCTCAAAAACCGTCACGGTAGCTCAGTCGGTAGAGCGCTCGCTCCGTGATCGGAAGGTCGTGTGTTCGAATCACGGCCGCGACTGACCTAAGTCGATAAAAAATAGGTAGCAACTGTTCTTTCGCCAAGCGCTCGGTACTTTGGAGTGAAAGTTGCGGGTCCTTCGGATGAGACCTTGAAAAACCGAGGCCCCGTGTCACGGTAGGCGTTGGCACGATAAAGAACCCTCACTGCTCAGTGGCTCTGAGTGCCGAGTAAAGATCTATACACAGGAACAACACAATAACACTACAGTTACACATCTACACAAAGGTCTCGCCGGTATACGTCTTATTACGGTGATTCTCGAACGGGGCGTAAAACAGCACACAATCAATCAGCACTTCCTCAAAAATAATGATTCAGAAACTAATCTAATTTCCTACATGCGTATAAGTACTCGTGAGGAAATAAAGTTTAAAATTCTCAAAAACACTCATTTAAAAAAAAGTATCCCTTAAATGGATGGCATGAATCTTCATTTTCAGAAATGGAAATGATCTGGCAAAAAGAACAGACAACAGTATGCTGCTTTGCTGCGCGACCCTTTTCATTACAAACATTAATTTATACAAACAATCACAAAACATTAACAATACCTTCAAGCTGAACTTGTAGTAAAATGACGTAAATCATTTTACCAAACAAGATTTTTATTTAATTATTACATACCTCATGTATGGATCAACACTTAGAAAGATGGCTTCACAAAGCACCTCTGCAAAAGAAAATGCATTTAGCAATCGATTAAACTTACCGGGCCAGCTTGTATGTTAAATAATAATTGTAAAGTACAATCATGTAGATCGAAGAACGTGATGCCGTGATGTACTTTCATTTTTCTGTTTCATAAATATCCAAATGAATGAATGTTTTTGTGTTAGTAATTGAGTAAAATAAAATTAAGTTAAATTACAAAATAATAGACCTACTTGTCGCCAAGAAAAAATACCCTTCACACATGCGTACTGATAGGAAAACCCCATTCTGCCTTAAAAAAATTCTAAGGGATTGGGGTACTCAGTCTCTGTCATCGTCTTCTATATGTACATGTACTTTGGCAATTTTAACAGTCAATTTTAACAGTCAATTTTAACAGTTCATGCATTTTACACCTTTGCAATATGAATTCACTTTGTATAAACATTAACCAGAGCTTTTTTAAATTGATTTGGAGGAAGGGTTTTATATAGGTATAGGGTTCACGCGTATTACCTAATACATTATTTACCTCTTCAACAAATAAACAGGTGTTGTATATTTGAAAAGAAGACAGGCATGATTTGCAGGAAATTCCTCTTTTGTATGTAGACCCACAAGAGGATTAAAATTACCGTTTTCTTTTTAACCTAATGGCAGTGATAACTTCACCCCCTCCACCCCCTCCTCCTCCCTTTTTTACCCCATATGAAAACACTCATCCACTACGGTACTTCTAATCGCAGAGAAAAGTACATATTGTCATGACCTACTAAGCTATCTTTAAATGTTTATATGTTGTGAGGCCTTAAATCCGCAGTCCTTTATAAATGGCGCAGCATATACATGTATATAAATTGTATATTGCATGTATATAGATTACATGTTTACCTCCCTCTTTCAGCTGATCAGGCAATTCTTCCGTCTCCATCCTGAAGTTTGACGAATCTGGGTGCCCGGAAAATGCCTTGGCCAAAATCCATTTCTTGCACACCACCATGCTTTCACTAGCGTTTAAAAATGTCGACCAGATGTTGGTCAGTATAATTCAAGATAATAGAGCTATAAATAGAATTCGATTTAAACTGGTATGATCTCTCTCTCTCTCTCTCTCTCTCCAAACTTTCAATTTTATACAATTGATATGTAGCTAACTAAATTTAACGAACAAAGACATTAGTACGATTTTAAATCATATACAATGTGCATCATGTGAATTTCATGTGCATTAAGGAGCACATTTAAAAAGACAGTGTATATACATAATCATGTAACTTACAATATAGATGCAGGTTTAAAATCAAAACTAAAGGCTGTCAGAACGAGGGATCGCACGTCGTTTTTTTTTTTTTTTTTTTTTTTTTTTTTTTTTTTTTTTTTTTTTAAATCGAAATTATCATTTTTCAGCCAAATTAATTAAGTTCAGCATTCAGTCATTTAATTGTTTTATTTAAAAGTAACAGACCCGTATGTGCCACCACCCCCCCCCCCACCTATTTTTTGCCGGAGTACTTATTTTGCTAACATAGTTAATTTTCATTTAGATGCTGGTTGGCCCCCACCACGTTTTGTTGTTGTAAGGTCGAGCACTGGCAAATTCCAGGATTTGGACAATTAAGGAGAGTTTTTTTTTAATTTATCTATTTATTTTTGGCTAGTCAAATTCTTTTGGGAAGGCCCCCTCCCCCCCCCCCCCATTTCCGGGAGGTTGGCCCCCACTTTTGAAAACATTGCTTTTACCTTTTGTTTAATTTAAAATACGTGAAAAATGACTTTAAGAATGCTCTAGTAAACGCCAAAACGGTTAATTACCATTTAAAAACAAAATAGGTAGGGTACCCTCCCAGCACCTACCCCTCACCCTATCGAAGGACTTTCTTGTTTTAAAGTTCGACTAACATATCATTAATGCCATCAATATAGAAGGTTTGGATAACCTACACGACATTCATACAATAAATTAATGCAAACATACCCAACGTCAGGAACTTCAGAAGTAAAGGCCTAAAATGTGTACCGAGTGAAAATTTGTAAGCGTGGGCCTAAGGGGAGTTAACTCACTAAGAGAGATAACTTGCCTTCATACGAACTTCGATATTGATACCAAGTTAAAGAAAAAAAAAGAAGTTGCATCCCTTGTATAATTAATGCAGCTCAATCCCAGCTCTGGGAACCATGATTTGTTTAATTTTCATTCAATATCAGAAAGCCTGTATATTAATATCATATACAAGGATCCCCCCCCCTTTAGACAATAGAAAGCCCAAATTTTATTTTATTTTTTTTTTTTTTTTTTGCGTCTGAGATGATACACTAAGATTTATATATATTTTTTTTAATTAAACATTTAGTCCCTTTCATATTTAATATTCAATATTCACTTTGCACGTACATAAGAAAATTAAAATTGGACCAGTTAGTCTAAATAATTTTCTCAGCATGCCTCATCCTTGCCTGCATAGGATATAAGAAAATCAAAGGCATTCGACGGAAATACTTGCATACACTCCAGTTCGACTTTGTATATAAAGCCAATATCTTTTGAGAAGAATCAAAATTCCAAATGTTTTTTTTTTCTTCTTCTGAGCTTTCTATTCTATGTAAGATGGTTTCTTTTTTTTAAAGAGTTTCAAAACATTTTCAGTCTCAATTTAGACATTCAAAATTTTAGGTTATGTGACTCCTCCCCTTGCCTGCTTTATCCGCCATGCGCACGCATCTAATTATGGTGCCAAGACTTTACTGGTATAAATTATGGGGGGAAAGTTATTTTTTTATATATATTATTTTGAAATTTTTCTGGGGATATGCGTCGTACAGTAAATGCATTCTGAAATATATATTGTATGTAACTTTGCATATTTTTAGCAGTTTGGAATATTTTATTGAAAAGAAATGCCAAAAGTTTCTCATCAAGAAAATGCTTATTTCATGTAATAAATTTTGAAATACACCTTTATTGAGATACATGTATCATACGTGCGCATACCATAAGCATAAATTGGTAAATGAAGGTTTCATGAATACTTAAATCTGAGTGAAATAGTTTTCTGCTCATACTGACATTTTATTTTATTTTTATTTTATTTATTTTTTTGGAAGGGGGGGGGGATCATATATGGAACTTAATCTAAAAAACTTAATTCATTTCTTTCGTGTAAGTTCTACATTTTGAAACCTTTTTTTTAAGGGAGTTTGTGTACACCATGTAGTATTTTTATACAAACTTTTGAGACCTTAAGCAGTACCGAAGGGGGAGGGGGGGGGGGGTCTGCTTCTTTAAGATTTAAGATGCTAAGAAGTACGGGAGTTGTTGAATGGAGGTGTTTGGTTCGTGTCCGGTACATACCTCATATTATTTGTATATCTGTACTATATAAAATACTCCAGTGACACATTTTAATTTATCATGGTCATTTTTCTATCAATTTGATTTATTTTTGGAACTCTTGCGGTATTTTCTTTGTCTTCCAATATATCTAATCCTATGTGTATGATAGCTCTGTGATTTAAAACAATTTCTTGTAGTGTCCCCTTCCCAGACACACGTATGTGTGGTCATTGTTTGATAAGATTTACCTATGTTGTGTCATTATTATATACACAAAAATTGCCATTACGGTAACAGCTGCAGATAAGCATTCGAATCACCATGTGCTCGCCTCTGTTCTTCGTTCTATTTGTTTTAGGGATTGAAAACTTCTGTTTAACAGTTCAAGGTAGGGAAATAGTGGAGAAGGGTTCTTTGAAATAATCAGTGATAAATAAAACTTATCAATAACGACTGGTATTTACTCAGTTTAAAATTTGACAACGTTGAAGGAATAATATGCATACATACCTCTCTGGAGCTACCATGCACAAGGGGCATTTACATGTACAAACCATGCTTGAATTTACGTGGTCATTGTATATGATTTTATAAGCATATCTCTGGATCATCGTTGTGGATGCTACATGTACATGTGTTTGTAGTATAGTAGTAGTACCACTAAATACCTCCCTTTCACAAATAGGAAGGGGTTCAGTGATCGAGGAACCAACTTCAAACAATGCAGTTGTGCCTTAATTATTATTTATTTTTTCATTTGCATATATTTTTAAATTCATCTAAACGTATTTGTGCCTTCTTTCTTTAATAACAAAATACTTTAAATTCTTTTTGCATGTTTGCATGTCAAAAAAAGAAGGGATGGAAATATCAAACATTTTTTTTCACCAAACAAATAAAATGAAAATCATGGAGTTGATTAACACACGTTTTATCCGTTTAATCCAAATAGTGATTCTTTTTTTTTTCTTTTCTTTTTTTTTCAGTTCATGACCATGACTGTCCCCATCCATGCGTAGTGAATGGTCATCATTTCTGCAACCCTCCGCCCTGCCCCCCTCCAGCCTGTCAGGACCCCGTGTACGCCCCGGGACAATGCTGCACCGTCTGTCCAGATGATTGTCCACACGGAACCTGTAGGGTAGGAAACAGGACTATGTGTTACCCCGTTCCCTGCCCTCTCCCCCCTTGTGAGAACCCTGTCAACACCCCCGGTGACTGTTGTCCACATTGTCCAAAAGGTAGCTGTCCCTCTACTTTAAATTCAAGTTATAGTTTTATATTTTGTGTTTTAAAACATTCATGTAGGCAAATGAACAAGTAAGTAATTATAGGAGTATGTAACTGTAAAATGTATTTTTTATATATATATATATATATATATATATATATATATATATATATATATATATATATATATATATATATATATATATATATATATATATATATATATATATATATATATATACTAGATGTAATCATATGAATGATACTCATTATATGATATATTAATTTGGATCGGAATTAATTGTGTGACTAGTTGAGATTTAAACATTCTGAAGGAAGACAAGTTGTGGATTTTGTGGATTGTACATGTATCGGCTTACATAAAGAGATATCTTTCCAGACTGCCCTCATCCCTGTGTCGCCGGAGGGAAAACCTACTGCCACCCAGTACCCTGTCCCCACCCTCCATGTGATAACCCTGTGACCACCCCAGGGGACTGTTGCCCTCACTGTCCGGATACTCTGTAGATGTATGTCAATAAACAAAGATCAGCGTCTGAATCGACTTTGTAAATGTGCTTTCTATTTTGCATCTAGTCAGAATTTTTAAAAAAGCTACCTAACATGCAGACAGCAGAGGATAAAAAGGATCAGTAGGATCTTAACCCCTGACCCCCTCCTCAAAGATTAATGGTTTCTGTATCATTATGTATAGTAAAAATACCTTTAAAAAAATAGGGCCCCCTTTGGAAACGAGTACTCCTTTAAGTTGGTAGGAAGAGTCATATATGAAGGCTGGATGAGGACTAGCCATGAGAATCAGAATTGCCACTTCACTGTAAATGAAGTAGTGTCATTTCTGTTCATCTCGCAGATTTTATATTTTTAACAATTTTTAAGGAATTACGCTCCTATAAAAGCATTTGGAATCCAAAGTGCCAGGATTAATATCTATCAAATTATGTGTGTATATAATATATTTCTTCAAATATTCATAAAATATAGCTTAACATTACAGGTCCATAGTATAGAGGGAGGAGGCACTTTTTTCTGAAAATAGTTTTTGATGTAGTTTTACTATGCAAATTTTCATGTGGAAGCTGCTTGCCCTCCCCCTTTTTCGTTGTTTACGGTCGAACAGTGGAAAATTCCAGCATTTGAAAAAAAAGTACCAAAAAGTTAGAGAAAGGAGAAATTTCCAACTCGCCAATTGCAACCCCCATAACCCCCAACCGAGATTGGGCAGTTTACTTCTTTTTAAATTCTTTTTTAAATTTATTTATTTATTTTCTTTTATTCATTTTCTAAATTAATTAATTAATTTATTTATTTTATTTATATTCATTTACTTATTTATTTTTTTTTTCTTTTGCTTATTAAAATTCTTTGGGAGGTCATCAGCCCTCACTTTGAAAAACGTTGCTACGGGCCTGCTTAATGATGTAATTAAAAGACAGGAGGTCCAAAATCATTCGATGTTTATCAATATATACAAGGCTTACATTCATAAAAACTCTTGAAAAAATGTATTTTCTTAAAAATGTTATTTATATTTTAAATAACTTGAAAAAATGAAATGTGATCCCCTGTTTTTAATTTAGATATACAAATTGACGTACAAAAAGGTCACGATTCATATTTTAGACATCGACAGCTGCATGTTCAAGATTTATTCGTTTTAAACCCAAAGGTATAAAATAATTAAATATCATCCATGAGTATTAATTTACATAAAATGAATTTTCAAGGTTATGATATTTTCCAAGGAACAGTGGTTTAAAATCAATATTTCAAACTTTATCCTACGTGCAAAAAGGTCGAGTTTAAGTGGATTTCACCATTAAAAAAAACCCGGATGTTTCATCCTTATTTCCCACTACTGCTGTTCTGATTCTTTATCATAGTAGATACTGAAAATATACTTCAGGAAAAATTCTAATTACACCGGCTACTTTCAGGTCCGTACAAGATACTTTTTTACCAATCAAGGGCCCCGAAACCATTTAAACATATATAAATGTGCAATTTAAACACTATTTCACAACAGAGATTGATTTTTTTAAAATAAAAAATTGCATAAATAACCAGGCTACTTTGTATTCAGTGTCAATGATCAAAGACAATAACAGTGTCAAGTGTCCAATGTCAATGATCATATGTCATGTTATAACATGTTTATTTGTGTGTTTATATATTTGATTTTTTGTTTTGTTTTGTTTTGTTTTTTTTTTTGTGTGTGTGTGTGTGTGTGATTTTTTCCCCCTATATTTTAGAAATAATTTCATAAAACATGCATGTACATGTACATGATGACAGATGTATTTAAACATTGGTTCTTTTACCATTTTCAATAAATAAATTTTCCAAGTAAGCATAAATCTTCTTTATTTTCATTATTCAAAATCCATATCAGTTTTTCAGCAGGTGTCAAAGAAGAGAAATTTGGATTGATTTTGATTGTTTCCATTAATCGTACAGGAAAGTAAATGCAGAATTTACAACATGCATGACACTGCGCCGTACGTAATACTTTTGAAGTAGGCCTAAGCAGATTTCATATCAAAAGTCATGACTTTTGCGCTTTCCTCTGCCACCTTTTCTTTCTTTCTTTCTTTCTTTCTTTCTTTTCTGTTCTGTTCTTTTTTTTTTAAGGAACGTGACTTTTATCCGGATATGATCGTTCTTGTTTGTATATTATCATTCTTTTGTTTACTTCCGATTATAAAAAAGACACGAAATTGACAGCCAGTGACTGTGACAGTGTCTGAGTAAAGCGAAAGAGACACTGGTTTTTCGTTATATTCTGTTGAAATGGTCTGATTAATAGTTAACGGTAAGACAAGACATAGTTTATTATTAATAAACAGACTTTAATCTTGTATAACTATTTTAATATGCATTTTATCTGATCTGATTCATGGATTTGTAGTGGATGTTGAGTGACCTTGTCTGGCAGTATGAATACGACGATCATTAAATTGTTAAAAGTCGCTGCAATTCTGATTACTTTTGATTAATGTTCTTTTGCTATGATTTAAGAAATGTTTCTTGACTCTTGAGTTTGAGCGCTTTCGATTTATATAAAATCTCGTGTTTTCAGCCTGTGAGTACGTGGCCAAGAAGATTGGCCGCGCTCTGGGCATCACCAAAGACGAGGCATCGCCTCAGAAAGCAGCAAGATGTTCTGGTAAAGCGGGACAGGAGAAGTACCGACCTCTTGATAACGGTGGGTGATCAGAGAGGGTGGGAAGAGAGCTTAGGGGATTGTCTTCAAATTGAACATTTATCTTGATTAAATTGATTTAAATGAAATGTAATTTTATTAATTCTGGTAATCCATTCAGTATCGTTTGGAACAAAATATAAAAAATAGAAAAACAAAATGCATAAAAGTACTAAATTATTTCAATAGAGCGAAATATCAGTTTACACTAAACTTCTCAAATATACATCTATTGTGAAGGTCTATCATTGTCATCATGACAATCCATTTTTAAATTGATTTTTATTCAAAGAAATGTTTTTCAAAGAAGTGTCACTCAATACAGAATAACTTTAATGATATCAAGCAATGTGATTGGTTTACAGGATTTTATTTATTTGTCAACATGGTCAATAAGGGGGAAAAATACATCAGGGCTGGATTATATTTGGTTTGAATTCATTGCAGGCATTAAAAATTGATTATCCAACTGCAACCACAATATAAATTGTTGGACTTCAGTAGGAGAAGTTGGATACAATGGATTATCACTGGCTGATTATGGAGAAATGAAAACTTAAATCTAAACTGTCCCAAAGCATTTTGTACTCTAATATGGCTAGGAAATAAACTCAAATATTTACAGTTAGTTTAGGCAAAACTTAAACATTTTTTATGTACTTTAACCCACTTTTCAAGGTGGGTAGGTAAGTATTTCATTTCTCTTTTGCGTATCTAACTTACAATTAATTGTCATAAAAATCACAGACTGAAAAATGTTATACATCAAATGTCTAAACAGATTTGATATTTAAAGCTATAAAAACTTTCTATTTAAAAAGTGTACTAGAGAAATTACAAACTTTACCTTTAAAATGAAACAATGAAGTACTGAAAAATATGATTGAGTAGGGGTGAATTTGACAGGTCGGTTGGAGTACATCAAACAGATCATTTTTGTATTGTTGGCCTTATAGCTCTTTATTAAATTACTTATATTCTTATGTCAGCACTAATGAGATGCACATTTTGATGCTTTAAAAATATTAAGTATAAAAATTCAAAGTCTTGACTGAGATATACATGTAGTATCTTTTTAAAATATCAAATATTAAAATTGTAACTATTGAGTGAATGCATTTTGCACTTCGAAATTACCTAGATATGAATTTATTATTATTTTTTTTATATATATTATACAGAGAGCTCAAGTTTCCAGGAAAATGGATACTCTGATGGAGTTACCCACAGAGAGAAGCAGGTGTGCACAAAATCAACAGGATGAGGTTAAAGAGAGGCAACTCCTGTTGCCCTAAAAGCCACTGATTCTACTGCAGATTTATCTTTCTTGTTTCTACCTTTATAAGTGTAACACAAGATTTATGATAAGTCAGATTTAAACATGATTTATTTTATGGAATCTGACTGTGATGTGGTGATAAAATCTGCTGCAGAAAATAGTGCTTGTGATGAAATCATCAGGACGTAATTTCATGTATTTACAAAAATGTACAGAACTTCTTAACATTTAATGAATGGTTACTGACTCAGGAAAAAATGCTTTGATTTTGCTGAATTTATTTTAGATGGTTGATATATTTTAAGTTCTTTTATTAGACTTTGATTTGCAATAATCATTCCAGACCTCTCTTTTCTTCTTGTTAGATGCTACAGCGTACATAGATAATTTGCTTTGTTAAAATATAGTGTTAAATATTGTATATAATATTTGTAAAGCAGTTAAAGAATTAGTTTTCACATGTTGCTATGAATTTAAAGCAAGAAATTATCCTGTTTAGTTGATTTCATGATTGAATACATATCACATATTAAACTATTACAGTAAAACTTGCTTATAAGTCCTGGGGACTTAGTTCATTTCAACCAAAATTCTTTATATTAAGAAAATGCTGTGAAATGAGGGATGGAGAAAAAGATATAACTTCCTAATAACTGAGATTTCCTAATATCAGAGTTCCTTATAAGTGAGTTTTACTGTATTTATTGCTGAATTGTATGACATTAAGAATGTACATTTCTAATTTTATATCTGGAACTTTTCTTGTTACAATGGTTGGAATGTAATATCATAAATCTATTTTATTGTTTTATTCCAGAATTGTCTAAAACAAGTGCGTATGATAAGATAGATAAAAACATATCTTAGATATGATGTCTGTCTTTGATGATCCACACTTGGTGAATGAAACAATAAAATAATTTGGATGTTCTTTTCATTAATTTTTGAAATCCTTTATTTTTTCATGTACCTTCATTAAGAGCCAGTCTGCGAGAAAACCATGCAAAATTAAAAAAATCGTCCAAATGGAAGGTTGCAACATAGGATTTTTTAGTGGCTTAAAATTTTCTACATAAAAGTAGAAGTCAAAATATCTACAAAAAATTGTCAAACCTTGCATCTATTTTTAGTAACAGCTCATTTGCATATTTATCGAAAATCACACTAAATTATATGGAAAAACCATACAAACTGATTAATTCAAAAGGTGACCTTCTGCCATCAGTTTATTTTCAAATCTTGTTTTGTTTTCAAAATCATGGTCTTATTTATACAATTAATGTAGAAAAAAGTAATTCAAATGAATGTTTAAGTTTTTAAAGGTCTATTTATAGATCCTAAATCAATGAGTATGATTTTTTAGCCATTTTTAGATGCAATTTTCTCTCAAGACCAAGTAAAACATTAAATTAAATTAAGTGTTATCTTTAGAATGGTGTAAGGTCTACTACGTATTAAAATATTGAGCTTGGGAAATAATATCTACATGTTGAAAATTAACTTTGAAATACCATACTTCGCTACAATTTCACATATTTTAAATAACAGTCTATTATCATATTTATAGACTATTTCTTAATCTAAATGAAAAAAGAAGATTCTAAATCTAATATATTTTTTAAGATATGAATAACTGATTTAGATACTTCATATAAATTTTTATTGCTTATTTTAGCCCCCTGCAACCAATTTCCTGGAGTTAAATTGTTATCTCCCCTTGTTGGAACTCTTTAGTATTATTGGGTAAAAATGACAGGTATATCAACATGGAATAAAGAAGGTCATGTATGATGACATTTTATATGAACCTAGGGAGTTGTTGTGGAGCATCATTGCACTATGAATGGAAAAACTCATTTTTAAGATCAACAACAATCCAGCTTAAACAAGCAAATAGTGTGTAGAAATGGAAATTGTGATAAACTCTACTTGCTAAAACCAATATATGCTTTAAAACATTCATGATTACGTTTTGTTTACTGGAGAGACAGCTAACATTGTGCATGTATGGGGATAGAAGGATCATCCTAAAACAAGCACGGACAAAGCAAGTATCGTGATATACGTCTACAATATTCCAGGTACTCACATAGGATGATTAACATAGTTTTGGTAAAACTTTTCATTCCTTATAAAATATACACATTTTGTATGCCAATTACCAGTTACAATGTAGTGCAGCATGTGAATATGCAGTACAGATAAAGTGATACCCATATCAGAAGGATGGGTCCTGAAGAAAATTATCTAAGCAGGCCCTTTGGAAGTAAATTCAGTTTGGGGGGGGGGGGCACAGCCATACATTTTTAGTTGTGGGGGGGGGGGGGGACTATCAACTGCCCGAAATTCCTTGACGAGCAAAAAAAAAAGGTCATCAGACGTTTTTATTGAGGGGGCACAAGCATATATATAGTAGCTATGTTTTCTATAGTAATCTGTATATCGGCAAAATTATTGAAGGGGGGGGGGGGGGGGGACAGCCCCCCTGTTCCTACAGCCATGTTCCTATGGTCATGCTGTTCAAAGAGCAAACTTAGTGAAATATTATTTCTAGTACTTGCACTATGATTAAAATGAAAACCTTTGTGAAATTGGACTATATATGTAGAATTTTGTTAAAAAAATATTTACACAAATACAATTTTTAAGTGAATGTTGAAAATATTGGTATGTTGAAATTACTGGCTAACTCATTTAATAACATAGTTAAAGATTTGGAGTCTAAAACTGAAAGGGGGGGGGGTCATTGTTGTCATGGTATGAAGAGTGTAAAATGTAAATTTTGGAATATGCAACAACTAAACACCTCAGAGCCATAAAATTGAATCCCCAGAACCAATTCTTCCCCTCAAACTACAAATTATGATTTAACAGTATATATCATTTTACAAAATCCATTTTAGTAATATTAGGCCATTCCAAGTTTTTTCTATGTTTAGCGTCCGCGTGCGCCTTGGTTTTTGACACCCCATATCAGAAAAAACAAACAAAATCAGGAGTCCTGAAATTGTTTATTCCGGTTGAAATCACTGAATTCTGTGAATTAATCTAAGTATTTGTCTACAATATGTCATATTTGGAATATTGTAAGCATTTAAAACCTTGATTTTGCTGAAGAATAGATATTTATATAGAATAGATATAGAAAAATAGATTAATGGAATCAAATCCTTTGGATGACATCATTTTTATGACTATAAAGACTTGTGTTTTACTTTTTGGTTTGTGTGTTTTCTGCGAATAGGTAGGTAGGTATTTGAAAATGGGTGGACGCTAAACATAGAAAAAACTTGGAATGGCCTTATAAGAAAAAAACCCAGATTTTAATAAAAACAATTCTTTGATTTTTACTTATGTTCATCATATCTCAGAATTATACCATAATGAATCTACATGGGTGTATGAAAATTAAGTTCGATTTGAAAAAAAAGCTAAACTCCCTTATGGAGTATTTTGCATAGCACTTCATCATTTTCATGTCAGTATTTTGATAATTCAGAATTGTTATTTTGACAAGAGTGGGCCAATTTAAAATTGACAGAATGCAAATAACTTATCGGAAGCTTAAATGTGTTCAAGTCTCATAATTTATATGTATTGTGAACCGTGATGTAATAGAGTCCTCCTGAATTTAAAGACATGTAAATTCCATTTGTTTAATTATAGAGAAACTATCTTACAAAAATGAAAGAAACATGAATATTCAATATGATCGTTGAAAATTTACAAGTAAGCCAAAACAATTTATCATGAATTCATACCATTTCTAAACAATTGGCAAAATGCCAATCCTCAAATTGGGTGTAATTTTTGAATTTTTTAATTAATTTTCATATCTTTTTTTTCAATACTAATTATGGTTACAAAGAAAATGGTAACACTTTTTCTTATCTAACAACAAGTTTTTATAATTTAAAGTTTTATATTTGACTTTGTAACCCAATGGAATTTGAATATTTTTTTGAAAATTGACAATTTGTATATCTCTATATCTCAATAAATTATGAAATCCCAAGCTTAATATTTTGCAAAGATAATATTTAGAGTTATATTTTGACAATAAGATCAAAAATTATAATTTTGTAGCTTGATCTTGGAAGATTTTGGCCATTCAATATGTAATAATTTTGGCAATTCTTCAAACTTGGCATTGTGCCAATTTTTAAGAGTTGTCTATCCTTTGATATGTTGCGTATTTGATTATGATAAATGTCAGTTTTAGAAGAACATAGTCATATGTTACTTTAAAATACCTGAAAGGAAATAAAAATTTAATTTTGAGTAAAATAAATCAAATGTAATTTTTACCATTTTGCTTGAATTATTTAAGTGCATTTGCACTTAAATGTGCAAAAAGAAGGTGGTGCTTCCTACGGCTGCCATGTTGGATGATGGAGAAAATTTTGACTTTTTTGAATTACATGTTATGAAGTCTAACTACCCACCAAATTTCATCAAGATATGACAACCTTCGATTTGGACGGTTTTGCATGGTTTTCTCGCGGACTGGCTCTTAAGCAATAAATTCTTGTAAACACAAGCAAAAGGTGTTTTCAGGAATTACTGAATTCAGAATAACTGATTTACTCCACTACCAAACTAATTTTACAGATTATTGAATAACAGCACTTTTCTTTTTTACTCGGCAGGTTTCAGAATTATGTAATCTGATACGTCACACGTTTCTATATTTTTTTTATTTGAACAGCTGCAACACTAAGGCCAGAACCAAGAATTTTTCCGGGGAGAGGACCCAATGAAAAAATCTAACTCGGAAACCGTTTTCGTAATTTAAAGATGAGGAAAGGGGATACGAAAAGCTATATAGTATATGGGAAGGAGGGAAATTCAATACTGTCCCCGCCACCTGTAAAAGACCACCCGCTTTATTTCGTATACAGTATATGACGCTTCCTACATTTACAGATTACATGGGATCCGCGTTTTCTGTTGGGTTGAAATTTAATAACTCAAAAACTTCTAACAGGCTTGGAAGAAGGGGGATGCAGACAGTTTCAAAAAATATGATATAATGAAAAACTTGTCGAAATTGTTTTAAATCGTTTTGAGGCGAAAGTAGCCAACCAGTTCGCAACCAAAAATATCCCAGGATAATATTATAAAGTTATGCGAGTGAAATGATAATATTTGAACAATCAGATAGTTAGGTGCTTGAATTGCAATCTCCCATGCAGAGTTGTCGTTCGTTACTCTCTCAGAAAGAGTTGAATTTTACACATAGTTGTCGTTCCCTGTCAACCACTTCAATATGTACTTCGATCCGGGGTTTTTACACTTCTAAAGTCCATTATGTTGAAGATGACTATGACATTTGTTAAGACACACAGTGCCATATTGAACAAAATGTTTATCAATTCACCTGTAATGCAAAATACACCTTGAAAATTCTTAACAATTACTAGTACCATTTAATAAAAATCTGAGGGTTATAATTGTTGCAGTGTTAATTTTATTTTATGTATAGGCGCTTGGTTAAAATAAAAAATCGCTGAAATTAGCACGTTTAAAAAATATCATTTAACTATATGCAAGATACTTTATTTACTAATCAAGGGCCCCGAAAGGCGTTTTAACATATATAATTAAATGTACAATTTAAACATTATTTCACAACACACTATTATTATATACAGTTATATATATATTTTTAAACGTGCTAATTTCAGTGATTTTTTATTTTTATTTTAATGCGTGTATTCAGACACACCTAGAAAAATACATAATACACAAAAAACAACATCCTGAAACCAAGCGGCTACATGTATGGAAATGACTGCAATTCTGGGGAGGGGGTAGTACATGTAATTCGGAGTTGGATTCCCTGTGTTATTATTATACTATGGGTTAAAAAAATATTTCAGAAACAAGTGCCTGCACATGTTTGCTCTTCATAGATGTCCTTTCTACCCCCCCCCCCCCCCCCAAATTTCAAATGTCTAACTACCTTTTGATACATTAGCTTCTTGAACGATACTTTCGAAAGTAGACAGAAAATTTGATATTCTATTTTATTTTTTTTTTTATTAGAAAGAGTAAAATAAACAAAATCTTTTTATTAATTCTTCAGTAGCACTGCTGTTCACTGCCGTCAGGTTCCAGGCCATTAAATCTGAAAGAATACAAACGGTAACAAGTAAGTTATATTCGGAAATGTGTACTCTATAAATTTGTCGAAATCTGACGTGACGCTGATTTCGTCTTCATTTGATGTTGTGTTAATTGTTAATGAGCGTTAATTTGCGTTTGATACCCATCTCTAAACTTTAGCAGAGAAAGCTGGCACCCTAGTGAGACACCGCATCATCGCTCGTTACTCGCTTAGGTGCCATGTTTTACTGATGATATCGCGCTATTGTGCGAGATCTTGCGCGTCATCTGAAACAATTTAAAGGATAACTGATCCCCCCGAGATGCCCAATGGAGACATTGCTAAATTAAATTAACGATGATATGAAATATCTTTATATCGATTTAAACTCTCTAATGAATCACAGAGATGTAGGAATAAGAAATTAATGTCCATACAAGTATTTTTTTCTTTCCATTTGATTTTTTATTTAACTTTATTTTAACACAAACAAAACAATCTGCATTGAAGATTTGGAATAAAATAAATAAAAAATTAAAAAATAGAACAAAAAAAGAACAAAATTGGTAAGCAAATCGGCGTTAAAAGTTTATTAAAGATTCATCTATTAATTCATCTAATGAAGTTTAAGGACTTATGCTACAAACAGAATAATTATATATATATATATATATATATATATATATATATATATATATATATATATGGATTGGTTTATTATTTTTGACTTATTTTGGTGGTATATGATGCATATATGGAATTTCTAAAATGTTAGGAAATTGCAAACTTTCTATGATGTTTAAATTTTGATAATTAGCTTTAAATCCTGGTTGTTCATGTTTACTTGTATATTGTGGAGTTACAGTTAACTGTCTCAATAGATTTATAAGTCAATGCATTGTTTTTAATGGGAGGAGGTAATGGTAACATGTTATGAGATAAATCTGAATAATGAAGATAAAAAAAAATCCTTAAGAATTTATCTTGCAATCTTTCATTGAATGGCGGTACACGTACATTAACTAAAATACGATATACATACATTATACATGTACTAAATGATAATCATACATGCAGTTTCATTTATGAGGTATATTTAAATACACCTGTGTTTTTTTTCTTCTTTTTAGACTTTGGGTCAATATTGCTTGAAGAAATACACATACTCGAATATATTATACAGCAGCTGCAGATACATGTACATGTGTTTCATTTGTAAGTTTTCCATACTCAGAGTTTGCAATCTTTACTTGAATCAAATATTCTGTCGCCTTTGGGCTAATGCTATACTACTGTATACGTAGCTAATGAAGAGGGGATAAAGTTTTCCTGGACCTGCAGGGTTCGACACTAACTTTTTAAGGCTTTAGTCCAGCCGGACTAGTGCTTCATTACTTTTACTAGTCCGCATGCGATTTTATTTGTCCGTCAAAAAAGAAAAAAGAAACATCAATGTTTTTTAACATTAATTTAACGTGACAATTAATATACCTATTATTTTTTGAAATAAACAAAGTATTTACGTGAAATATATTATTCCACAGATTCATTGAAATCTCGCAATCAGCAAGTACGATTATATTCCCGATCTCTTTTTCTTTTTTCTTTTTTTTTCTTTTTTTTTTTTTTTTGTCTTTACATTACATCAAAAACGTCCAACATCTTTCTTAAAAGTGTCATACTAAATCATGATCGCTAAAACCTTATACTTCATATCGATCAGTCGAAAAATTAAGCGCTGAATTGACCCAGCATTGCGTAACTACCCGCCAAAAGCTAGAAATCTAAAATACACACGGGTTTTCCAGTAAAAGTTGTTGAGAATCGGACATCGGTAATTTATTCTATTGTTTTCAGAAATTTTTATTGGTACGTTCGGACTAATTAGCCACATATTTTATTAGTCCGAATGAAAATGTACTAGTCTGAGACTAACGGACTAATGTTTGTGTCGAACCCTGACCTGTATCAAAATACGGACATCGAGCACAGGCACTTGGGGTATGGACCCCCCCTTTTCCATTTTTTTTTCTTTTTAAATCTGGGGTCGAGTCACCTTTTTCCTATTTTTGTATTCTAATATGCACTGTATGTTATCAATAATGTAACTCTTTTGTCTCCATAAGCTGTTTTTAAATATATCGTTTTCGACTGATACATATGTATCAGTCGAAAACGATATATTTAAAAACAGCTTATAGAGACAAAAGAGTTACATTATTGATAATATAAAGTGCATATTAGAATACAAAAATAGGAAAAAGGTGACTCGACCCCAGATTTAAAAAGAAAAAAAATGGGACGGGGGGGGGGGGGGGGGTCCATACCCCAAGTGCCTGTGACATCGAGCCCCAACCCCCCACCCAGCATCCCCTTAAAAATCTTATTTTAAATGCACGAAGATCATTCGAACAGCAATGTAGCTAATTGTATTACCCATGGTCTTACATGTGATCAATATATTGAAATCACTCGATGCACTGTATTTATTATTAGTTAATGGCAATTTCTTTAAACATGAATATAGATTTAAGTATAAATTAGGACATGTATTTTAGTGTAACGTAAAATTGATATGGATGATAAAAACAAAAAACGTGCAAACACTTTAATATAGACTTTTTCCTCTTCAATTTCTATTAATAAAATTTTTAAAAAAGTGATTTGAGAGCCTTAATGATCCTTTGCAACTAGCAACTTGTTTTGCTAACACACAATTCAATGCTAAGGAAGATTGAAGATCTACTAATATATTTTTAAGTTATAAGCGCGTATGGACAGAACATAGGATTTATAACACCCCTCACTGATACTGCCTCATGCAGGAACTGCATAACCAAAATAACAGAAAAAAAATTTAGACTAGTCCGAGAACTAATGAAATTAATTCCAAACTTACAGGTCATAAGCGCTCTCCGTGAGCATCATCGGATTCCTCTGGCAGGGGACATACTCCATCCAGTTCTGTGGCATATCGGCACGAAGACTCAAGAGGAATTCCAATATGAAGCAAAGTTCTGGGTGGATTCTCCGGAAATGCCGTGTATTTGGCGAACAAGAGGGACTGGGATTTTTCTTTGTTGTCCTCCGGATCAGATGTATGTTTTGCTGCTGGCTTATTAGAAATGGAATTCTGGACGAAAGATTGTCCAAATAACGGGTGGCTGACGGGAGTTTGGTACGCTGGATGTTGACAGGTTTCAGGTGTCTGAAAGGGTCTTGGAATATCCTTGGTACGGGTATCCGGGGAAAACATCAGCTGTCGTCTGGGAGATTGTGCTCCATGAGCCGCATAAGCTGCGATAATCATGCTGCTTCTTAAAGGCGAGAATGGCTCATGGGGAAGTCGCATCCCCAAGGCAGGAAATGTCGCCTGAGACATTGCCATAACTTGTCGTCTTTGGTCGTCCTTTACAAGCATATCTGTTAGTGCTTTGATGTAAGCAATAGCCAATCTCAATGTTCGTATTTTAGACATACGTCTATGATATAAATGGTACTGCTGGGGTATACATCTCCTCAAGTCCGCTAACGCAGACGACATTTTCTTCATTCGTCGTCTTTCCATGAAGTTTGCTGAGCGCCTTCTCTCTTCTATTTCTGCCTCAGATAAATTAAGTTTGTCAAATTTTTTTGTCCCTTTATATTTTTGTCCAATTTGTGGTTCTTTTTCTGTCGTTAAATCTATGGGCGACTCTTCATCTTCGATCACGAGTTGGGAGATTTCTTCATTGCCCTCTTCAGCCATTTTAATGCTATATTTCCGCAGACTACTACCGTTTATTTCTTCCTCAACTCAATTCAACAAATGTCTGCAACCAAGCTAACGGAGCATCACTCATCATATAAAGATCCCCTTGATGGGAGGGGGACGTTGTAAGGGGGTCGTAAATTTACTTTGGGTTGCCAGTGTCCCCGCTGTGAATCAAGCTGGACCGTGCAATTTGCCACTACGGCTTTATAACGAGAATCTAATAACTCTCAGATTGTGCTAAAGACACATATTTATCTATTTCTTTCACACAATCACGTTAAATAAAGGGGTTCCTTCTGGTATTTCTTTGATTCTGTCAGCAGAAAGAACCTAGCACCAGAGTAACAAACGTATTTTGTATTTCCTGTCCTGTGTCAGAAAGTTTTCTTTTCATGAAAATTTTAACAGTCGTTCATTTTTACATGCATTGGCCTCCATTTCATGACATTATTTCCTTTCAACATGAAAGTCAGTAAGCAACTTTCTCCTGATTTGCTGAAATGTTCTGTAGAGCTAATCCATTATTTTATTACCAGGTCTTAGACCATTAATGTTTCATTGAATTCTTGATCGTTTCAAAAACACAAATAAATGAATATTTAATTTACAAAAAATGATTTTACAAATCACACCACAAAATCACTAGCTAAAAGACATTAAGAAAGGTAATTGTTGTGTAAATAAAACTTCATAATATTTAATGTTTTATTGTAATTACCATAGAAAAAGCAATTTTAGAATATATTGAAAAATAAAATCTCAATCCTCATATTTACCAAATATGTGAAATTATTTATTTGTCGCACTTGATCAAATTGTGAGTAGAATCAGTACGTCAGGATCTGTTAAAAATATGTGAATTCGCCAATAATACATATATTTTTACACTGAACTTGAATTTTAAAACTACTGCATGGACATAGAGAGTTAATAACAAAGAAAAGAATCTGCAAAGAAAGAAAATACACGTTAATTTTTTGTGGCAAACTCAGTGACATAGATTAAGCCGACAAAATGTATGCCAAAAAGGAAGGGATTAAATCCCAGCAATTTGAAAAAAAAGAAATGGATATTAAATAAACGATAACCAAAATAAAAATTATCAATGCATCCTCTTCTTCCATTCGAATGCTTTACAAAAATTAAAAATAATAATATACATGTATGTAAAAAAAAATATCTCATTGCAAATGGTCATAATTTGGGAAAAATGATCTAAGAAGAATATTCTTATTTGGCTTATAATGGGGGAAGGGGGGGGGGGGCGGATGCTGATCTATTGTAAGAATTTAGCCTCTCTCGCTGCACCATGGAATTTTGCATGTTTTCTGTGTGTGTACATGCTTGACTTACAATAATTTGCATGTAGAATGAATTTTATTTTACAATGTATCATAGCTATTGATTTTTTTTGTCAAAACTTAAATTTTTCTTTCGATATTTAGTTAAATAGAAAACCCTTTCATTAAAAAATATTAACTTAATTTCCTTTTTTGGAAAATCTCTTAAATTTTTCCAAATATATATCCCCCCCCCCCCCCCATTTATCTATTAACTAGTAAAGGCATTGTAAATAATAATTATGGCTAGTTTGCTGGCATTAAGATAATGTTTTTTTTAATAATCCCTCTCTTTTGAATAAATTTACAGATCATTGATAAAAAGTTACAAATTCTTGAAAAATGCATGAAATTCTAATTTGGGTTCAAGATTCTGTTAATCGATTGTCAAACAATTCAATATTAGTATAATTATATACAAGTGATATAATATAATATTCCAAGAGTAAAAAAAATGATCGGTGGAATTTTCAATTAATTTGCCTAAAAAATTGTTGAATAAAAATTGTAAACTAATCATAGATACTCCCCGGTTCGGGAAATATTATGCTGAAATATTTAATATAGGCAACAACGCAAAAACAGAAAATGACCTTTTTGCACTTCCATTGTTAATTTACTAGATCTTCATGTCAATACCAACCGACGCCTTTTCCCTGAATTAAAATTTACGTGTTAATTGCCTTCAAGGCAAATCAAAAAAGAAGCATTACCTTATATGTTTAACAACAAGACAACAAGCGCGATAATTGTGTCATCTGAATTCTTTGAACGAGTATTACCCATATGTACATATATTTTTTAAAAAGGTGATATTTTCCCCAATAGAATTAGTTGGGGGTTTTTGTACGATAAAATTAGCATGCAGAAGAATGATTTCTCGATCTATGATGGAAATATAGTAATAAATGTTGTTTTACTTAATTGCTTTTAAAATGTTTTTAAAATAATTTTACGATCATAAAATAAGATTTGTATGTTATTTTCATCAAGAATGCTAATTTGAATGAGCGACTGTATTCATCAACGGCATGTAGATGTAGGTACATGTATACGGTAATTACAGTACAATTCGGTATTATAAAACAACCCTAATGTCAATACTTCTAGATTTGAACTCCTCAAATATGTCTTATCAGTAATAAAAAATAAAAAATAAAATATGACTTACTGTCAAACTAGATAACTATGTATATTTAGAGGCCTGTAGTAAGCATTTAAGGGGGGCACATCATAACAAAAAAAATCTTTAAAACATGACAATTATTTTTTGAACCCCCCCCCCCCCAATAATTATAATAATCTTCTTGCAACATTTTTGAGGGGTCACATGCGAAATAACCTTAAATTAACTTTGTTTTCTATTGTATAGACAATATAGTGTTTATTGGCAAGAATACAATGAATTGGAGGGGACGACCCCACCACAACACCCACCCACCCACCTTTTTTTTTTTTTTTTTTTTTTTTTTTTTTTTTTTTTTAATAATTTTATAGTTTGCTTATAGACTCTTTTTGTAAAATTTGTTGCATAACACATAAAAGTCTTGAATTTTCCTTTAAGAAACCCTGAGTGAACAAAGGCGAAACGATATCTTGTAAACATCAAATGAAAAAAAATATTACTGAATTAGCAAATATGATAAATACGAAAGCCTATTAGGATCAAACTACGGTAAAAAAAAATAAAAGGCGTTATAACGCCTTTTGAAAGGCGTTATAACGCGGAAAAAGGCGTAATAACGCCTTTTGAAAAGGCGTTTTAACGCGGAAAAAGGCGTAATAACGCAAATAAAGGCGTAATTACGCCTTTCCAAAAGGCGTTATAACGCGAAAAAAGGCGTTATTACGCCTTTCTAAAAGGCGTTATAACGCCTTTCCAAAAGGCGTTATTACGCCGTTCCAAAAGGCGTTATTACGCCTTTCCAAAGGGTGTTATTACGCCTTTCCAAAAGGTTTTATTACGCCTTTCCAAAAGACGTTATTACGCCTTTTAAAATGGCGTTATTACGCCTCTTTTTTTTCAATACATGACTTACTTAGCCCACCCTGGGGGCTGATTATAATTAGATTTCTAGGAAAAAAGATTTTTAAATGTGTAAAATATTTTCAGTGTTAAACCAACTTAGTCCTTGTCTGATGCCAGACGCTTCTACCAAGGTGTATGGATTTCAGAAATTTTGTTGAAGGCTAATTGCTCTTTATACCTATGTAAATACTTTGCCTGTTTTTTACCAAGAGGAGAGAAAATATTTCAAATTTGACATGAATTTTTAATACGTGGCTAGCAAAGCCCAAAGCTGGTTCTGCCTTTATCCTGGATTTTCAAAAGTAGAGTGTTGACTTCTCTTAATATGCATGCAATATGCAAACAACTGTCTGCGAGATGTGCAGGAATATAGAAAATACTATAATTTATAAATATAATTTATAATATTAAAACTATAATCTAAATATTGCATAAATAAAGATGGCTTTGGTTCAATCTTTCATATATTTACTATTTTAAAATAACGCCTTTCCATTTTTGGATACAACTCCTTTTCAAACAGGCCGGTAGTACGAATGTGGGGGGGGGGGGGGGGTCCCCCACCCCACTTTTTGGGAGAATAGTCTTGCTATAGTTTAAATATAAAAAATCATTAATTGATTTCTTGGTCCCTTAACATTTTGTTGCAGTATGGTTAAACTCGGGCAAGTCATTGCATTTAAAAAAAGTTTTACCGAAAAATTAGAAAAAGTTTCCCCTCAAGTTTAGGCAGTTTATTTCTTTTCGGGGGGGGGGGGGGTCTTGTTTTCTTGTTTGCTTGTCAATTTTATGGGACCCCCCTCCCCCGACACACTTAAAAACACGGGCCTGTCAAAGACATAATAATGGCCCTTCAAAAGGCATAATAACGCCTTTTAGAAAGGCATAATAACGCCTTTTGGAAAGGCGTAATAACGCCTTTTGGAAAGGCGTAATAACGCCTTTTGGAAAGGCATTTTAACGCCTTTTTAAAAGGCGTAATAACGCCTTTTGGAAAGGCGTTATAACGCCTTTTTAAAAGGCGTAATAACGCCTTTTAGAAAGGCGTAATAACGCCTTTTGGAAAGGCGTAATAACGCCTTTTGAAAAGGCGTTATAACGCCTTTTAAATTTATTTTTATCGTAGTATGATCCTAATAGGCTTTCGTAGATAAATTATGAAGAGTTAAGACATTCAGGATTTTAAATCATACAATCCAAAGATATATTTTATGTGACTTTTTATTCATTTTATGTAAAAATATTGCTTTTTTATAATTGTATTGTCGTATTGTGATAATAAGTTGAATATCTCGTCATACACTTTTGTAAAATTTTACAGAGGAATTATTTAAAAAATATATTACAGCTAAGTCGATAAGTCGAAATGGAAAATGGGAACACATCGATTTCAAAACCGGTTCGAGGCGGAAGTGAGTAGCATTGTGTAGTGAATCCCCTCCCCTATATACACAGAGAGAGAGAGAGAGAGAGAGAGAGAGAGAGAGAGGTATAAAATTTAAGGAGAACGGAAATCTTTTTATCTAACTTTCAATGAAACACTTGAAACACAGAGAAAAATAAAGGACTCCTGTAAATGTATTTATTTATTAATATTAAAAATAGTATTATACAGTTCAAAAATATTATGTTCATTTCACAGCATTCAAAAAATATTATGTACATTCTCTATCACAATTATCAAACTGTATAGACAGTTTTTTCATGACACAATATCAATAAAACATTCAAGCACATGATAAATACCCTAATTTAACAAAACATAAACAACTTAGCACGTGATAATAACAAAAAACATTTTATCAACTCGCTGGATTTATTATTGATTTTGGGAAAAGTAGTTTATAAATTGATAATGTTTTGAATTTGGAATTCACATGGCGAATGTTATAGTAGAAATTAAAATCGTGTGATTAGATTTCTACATATTAACACATTCAGTAAATTAATAGAAAATTAAAACATTACAAATTTCCCATAACTTTCATTCATTTCACCATGTTATAGTCGAAAGAAAAACTACTGGATTCCCTATTTCCTTTGAAATAAATTTACGGAGCCTTATCCGAACAAGGTTTAACAAGGTTCCATTGACAAACACCATTTTGATCCCTTTTACACACACCCGATTTAAATTGACAAGTGCCCCTGGTAGGAGCGAGGCACATGTCATCTGTCTTGGGTGGATATTCGTTCTTCATGGGAATATTCCATGTTTTTGGAATGAAAATCTGTAATAAAACAATAAAAAGAATTTCAAGAAATTACTCAAAATTTTGAATGTTATATTTTTAAGAAACCTGTACTCTTAGGCTATTATAATTATTAATTATTTAATTATAAATAAAAATGAACGAGAATCTTTATTGAATAAGTTAAAAGTTTGTTACTTTGCAATTGCAGTCCACGTTGTGGAGAAGAGTTGCTTGGATATCTGTCCAGAACTTGACGCCTGAGCAGGCGTTTGCTCTGAGTCCACGTTCATCCCTATTACCTAAGAATGAAAGAAATATACATATATTTCATTTTTATATTTGTTACTGACTGTCTATGGAAATATATCAGATTGATCAATTTCAAAGACAGGCAAGGTAAAACTCGGCCAGCTATCAGATTGATTCAACCCCAACATATTTACGTAGAAAACCAGTGACAAATCTCGAATCACCTGTGTTGCAGCAAATCTGACATCATTTCTCAAAGACTCACCAACCCAGTTTTAATTGAAAAAAATACATGCTTGTATTACAGGTATTTCTGGATAGGTTACCCCCCCCCCCCACCCCCCACCCCGATATTAACCTCGAGGCTTGTTGAACATTTCTTCACATATTATATTTTTATTACACTTATTTATCAAGTATACCATAAAAAAAATCGGGGGAAAATTCCCAAAATGTTTAACATTATAAGAGAAATTCCTTGCTACCTAATCAATTCCTCCTAAGGGACTGAGTTATTTTTCACTTCTGATTTGGGTCCTCCGAAATCGGGAGGGTTTTTTCGTTTGTGCGATTAAGAAATTCATTTGTACGGTTTTTTAAAAATGTTTGAACGATAAAGAAATTCGTTTGTACGATTTTTTTTAATCGTTTGATTATTAACATGGTTAATCATCATTATTTTAAACAATATTTTATTCAGTTTAATCTGAACTGTCATTAATCATCATCTCACGTTCCGCAACTCCCAATCAACTTCGGATGTTGCAACACTATGTACATGTACAAGGAAAAGCTCTAACCACGTGCAAAGCGGGTTACAGATCTTACAGGTACAGTAGATATAACCTAGATTACTCTCATTTTATTTTGAGTTAAATATATATCAGAATGTTCAAATATACCTGATATTAGGTATTCCAGACCTGGCTTTAGATATTGGACACCACAGGAGTGCGCTGGCCCTGGGGTGCCGATTTCCATTGTGTCGGGTATGCTAAACAAAAATGTTTCACGGCCCTATAATGATAAAAAAAAGATTGATAAGATTGAAAGACAAGACAACCACTTACTGCCATGTTTTGTTTTTTTTAATCCTGCATGCATGCACTCCAATATTGTCCATTAGCGTGAGTCATAGTCTTTCATCGTTCTGGAAATTTTGCCTCAAAGAATCCTTTGGTAAGTGGAAATAATGATAGATTAGATAAAATACCAAACTGATCCAATGTACAACAGATCCATGGGCCCTATTGGTCCAAGATTATATTTGGTTATTCATTGTAAACAAACACTCCATCCGTTCCAACACTAGGGGTCATAAGAAGATGGGCGAACAAGGCGAGCACAATGCCTTTGTGCAACAAACATGAATGTGAAAATTAATCTAAATAATAACAAAATTTTCTTTGATATTTCATCTAAAATTAGAGTATACTTTATGTACAATCTCCTCAATTTGCAAAACTCTCACTAAGATTGAAATGATTTGCCTATAAAATAGAATACACACACTAGAGAGGGCTAAAAGGATCATTTTCTCATACTAAAACACAATTATATGAATGAGTCTTCGCTACACGTTTTTCAAAGTTTATTCTCAAAGTTTGCGAAAAAATATACATTTTTGGTCAACAAAAACATGAAGCAAAGACCCACTATACCTTAAAAATACACTTTTATGACACAACATTCGCATCTCTCCGAGAAATACTTGAAGTCCATTTAGTCAAGGGTCATATTACAAACATGATTTAAATGCCACAATTCATCAAGAGCTGTGTGTCGAAGTGGTTAGCCCATTAGTCTCAAAGGAAAATGACATTCAGGATTTCTATTGCTAGGGTTCGAACCCCACGAATACCACATTATTTTTTTAATAACAGAATAATTTTTGCCGATAAAATTTTCCTTAGAAAAGTTTTGTTTATCATAATTTCATAAATTTCAAGAATGAGAATTTTACTCTAATACTAAATTCACAAATTGATTATGATTTTTATATATCTGAAGCTGTAGGCATTCTGCGCGCCTTGTTCATCCATCTCCTTTGAGGTATTTGATTTTAAACATGCCTTAATGAATCTTGAATCTTTGGAGATACTTATACATGTTATGCATCAAATAAGAAGTAATGTTTATTATTTTCTATTATTTATAAATTTTTGGGTTCTTACTCAAACTCAACGTGGCTTCACATCGTGGTTTATATAAAATAACGAGGATACAAACATAATGAACTTGTAGATTTCTTTATTTACCCCCCCCCCCCCAAAAAAAAAATATTTTGCCCTAGAATTAAGTATTTCTTTACATAATATGTCAAATTTGTTTCTTGTTTGGATTTTTTACAGACTATAGACATTAATGGCAAACTTATTACTAAATTATATGAGAAACGGGACAAGATCAGCTTTTCCATCGTCAACTTTCCCTGTGCGTTGTATGTATGTCTCCCGGCTGGTTTGCTGCTCGGCCTGAGTCTGATCGATATTTAAACATGGTAATTAAAACATAACCTAAAAATGCATTTTATGTAGATATTTTGGACCAAAATATGTATAAAAATCTTGCTGCGTAAGAGTCAGAATTTCTTTCTTTTCTTTCCCCTATCTTGGGAGAAAGAATACTCTGGCTATCGTAGACATATTGTGGTCCAAAATTACCTTGACAGAATTTTCTAGGTTATTGTTCACAGTCTCTCACATTTTCGATCAAACAGCAATGTTGCTTTTGAGAAGAATTCCCTTTCATTATCTTTCAATTGTTATTTCCGAGTCCTGATTATTCTTGTCAAAAAGAGAGAAAGAACTAGTTGAAGGGTAGCTATTTATAGTTAATGCAAAAATTATTCTTTGAGAGAAAAGAAATTAGTATACAATATATTAAAGCTGAATAACTTTGTAAAGTACAATTTACCTTATAGCAAACATAATTATAAAACCTTAACATATTCTAGAAGTCATTGAATCTCAACGAAATACCTTATTTGTCATTGTTTTGCTGTGTTATATTTTTTTCCCAAAATATCTTGTTCAGTGTAACACTCATTTGACACGTTTTTAATCGTGTAAAAATATGAACGATATAAGACCAGGTGACTTTTTCACTTAAATAAGAATCTATTAATCCAGTTTTCCGAAAAGTTGACGTGTACTTAAACAAAGTCCTAGACAAACACGGTAGTCTTATTTTACTAATTTCAGACAATTCTAAATGTCATTGATAGGTTAAATTGTAAGCACCTGCGAGTAAATTGTATGCACAAAAGTGGTCGAAAAAATACATATTTATTTACTTTTATGGGTTATTTATTTGTTTTGACTGGATTGTATCGGCCACATTTAATTATTCTGGATCACTTCATATTATAAGTCGGAGAAAGATTAAGCCTGGTACTAACAGGTAAGGTTTTATTCTAAAAAAAAAATTAGAGAAATGATGTACATCTTTGAACACTCCGAACGTTGTAGTTTATAATTCTTGATGAAGTATGATTTTCATTGGAAAAAAAAAATAATGAAAAAAGAGAAAAGTGATCGAAAATAGAGTCATTTTTCGACAATTAGAAATAGTCCACGAGATGTTTACGTATGTAAAATGATTTCAATTATTCTCAATGAAATTGACACAAATGCGATCCTATCTCTATGTTCATTCTTGAAATAAAACAAAAACTCTTAAAGAGAAAATTGGGCAATTTTAATAATACATTGTCTGTGCTACGTAATATTATATATATATATATATATATATATATATATATATATATATATATATATATATATATATATATATACATTTATATATATATATAAAAACAAAAAAAAAACAAAAACAAAACAAAACAAAAACAACAAAAAACAAAACAATACAAAACCCAACAACAACAACAACAACAAATAAACTATGTGAAGAATTCATAAGTTCAAGATTTAATTTGAAATTTGATGAATTATTAAGAATGATTTTTAAAGTTAGAAATTAACATTACTCTTAATTTAAGCAAATCAGAGACTTTTTATGATATTATTAAAAAAAAAAAAGATTTTGAAAGGCGTTTTTATAATACACATAAAAGGTACATGTAAATTACATGTATAACTTGTTATTAAAACCATAATTTGTGAAACAGGAATTGTCAACAAATCACAGGCTATCTGCATGACACCTGTCCAGCACCGTTCACTTAATAAAATTTTTCAAACGCTCCATATTAAGAAAATCCAATACATTTAATTTTTTCGGTAGGAAATATTTTTAAAATGGATATATGTGCATTAAAAATCCATTAAAACGATATTATGTATGTTGAAATATCAAAACTGATTTTTTTTTTAAATTTTATATTTTCTACTATTACTTACTCTTTTTTCGACATTTTTATTAATGAATTGTTTTATATCAAATTTTTCACCAAATACATTTATGTCAGGCTGTATTAGCTGGAAGTTTACAGGGAAATTTCTGTAATGCAGATGCGAAAGTTTGTAAAAATAGCATTTTCTACACATTTATTTGTTAACCTTTTCAATCAGAAAAGGGTTATTAGATGACATTATTTATGTTTAGCAGATAATTTAGCTATACAGATGGATGAAACAAATTGTAAAACCTGTAATGATATTGAAGACGAAAAGTACTTTCTACTTAATTGCCCGCTCTACATTGACAATCTTTTTAATTCTAAATTTATTTAACTTTTTTCGTTCCATAATTGAATTTAATTTAAAAGATGAAGATAACGAACAGTGATCAATCTAATAAATCCAGCAAATAAAACGAATCGTGAACAGGGCAAAAACACTGACCCCTGGAGATACCAGAGGTGGGAGCAAGTGTCTAGGAGGAGTAAGCACGCCCTGCCGACCTGCCCCCCCCCCCCCCCCCCTGTTAACCGTATGCATTGATTAGTTAGACGGAGTACTCCATATACAGGTGATGTGATGTTAAATTATTGTTACATAAAGGAGGAAAGTTGACGATGAAAAAGCTGAAGTCATCCCGTTTGTCATACAATTCCGTTTGTAATCAGTAAAATAGATATCCAAATATGAAATAAATGTGGCAGACTCTGTAGTGCCCTTTATTTCGATTTCACTGGCATATATCGAGTCGAAACATGATTGAAATAACTATTGTTAATTGAGAAAACTTCGTTGATATATCTAAATGTTGCATTGAAGGCCACAGCAAGAGTAGTCTTCTCATGAAGAAGTTTTCGAATGTCGAATTCATAGGAATATAAAAACAAGTCGGCTAATAAAGGAGCACAATCGAAATTACAACAGATTGTTGGTCTCCGAAAACTACATAGATTGTCAATAAAGAACTCCACCATCTTTTTTAATTTCAACTTAAGAGTACTTGTATGTAGAATCAGAATAAATCTTGTTTGTGATGTAAAAAAGCCTCTGTTTAATTTGTTGTGAGAAATGGTTGTATAAAGACTAGAAAAGACATTTGTTTTGATGCTTTAAGTTTTAAGTTTTAATTTTTTTTCAAAAAATTCTTTGAAGCTTTTTCGAATTCTCATTGACTAACACTTTTGGAATATATATATATATATATATATATATATATATAGAGAGAGAGAGAGAGAGAGAGAGAGAGAGAGAGAGAGAGAGAGATTATGTTAAATAAATGTTAAATATGACGTAAATGAGCTCTGGGAGAGTTGGGAAAATATATTTAAAAATAATTTGAGGCCCCTACAAAAGTATATCTTTTTTTCAAATTCTGCATGACGTGACCTTTTTTAGGCACATGCAATGTACAAGTTTATTCTAATTAATAATAATTGATTCCCTGAAGAAATGCATACATATATGACTTGTAAATTATATGCCATAAGATTTGTCTCGTACAATAAACAGAATTGGATATGCAAAGATGAAGTGAAGCCAAAAGTAGAGTTGCATTTATCAAAGTATAATGCATGCACTTTCCCTTTTGACAAATGCCAAGTTAAGTTCTTTCCCAAGATATCCTAATTCTAGCCCAAGGTACCGTCAATAGAA